AAAAGCCCGCAATTTGGGTTTTTCTGCCATTCCCTCCTTATTAGATGTAGGCCGTGCGTTTTGGCAGGTAGGCCGGTGGTGCTGTGTCTTCTGGTGCACCACATGACAGGCTTGCCGTGTTGGCTTATTTCAAAATTGGTGGTGTTAGCTTTGACCAGTTGGTTAAGGTGATGTCTGCCAGGTTTCACTGATGTAAAATTACTTACCTACTAAGTGATTTGAGGTTATATAACATCCTTACCAGACTTCCCTCCCCAGATTTGCGTCTGTGTGTGATAATCTCATGCCCTCATTCCTTCTTTATTAATTGGCATTTCAGTAAAAGGAAGAACTTCCCCTTCTCTCTCGTTTGTTTATTTATTTCAGTGTGATTCCCCTTTGGCTTCTGATTGACTTTATTTGGTGGAGTAAGTCCATTATTCTCAAATTGTCCCTGCTTTGTCCAGGGGGAGCCCCTTCAAGCTGGCTCCTGTGTCCTATTGACAAGTGAATCCCCGTGATTCTTTGAGAATTCCCTTACTTTTTTTTAGGGCAACAAAATATTCCAGACTCATCTTCTACCTTACTTTCTTCTGCACGGCAGTAGTGCATTTCTCCAAAGGGCCTTTTGATTACTCTGAGCAAGCCTTTGAAATGTCGTCTGAAGGTAACAGGTAGCCACTGGAGCATTTTAACTTTGGTAGTGACGTGATGCAAGTCAACATTTAAAAAATACCAGTCTGGTAATAGTGTTCAGAAAAGGCTGAGTTAAACGCAGTAGAAGGAGCAAGGACTAGATAGTCCTCTAGTCATTTAGATGAGCCCCAGTGAAGGCCTGGAAATGCTGCCCGCGGAGGGAGAACGAGGCTTTGCAGGCACCTGACCACAGCCCAGCCAGGGTGGGCAGGCGCAACGCCCGCAGTGGCGTCCTGTTGAGGGTTCACAGTCCTGATGTGATGTGCTGAAAGTGGACCTAACCTCCGTGGTCGTCCTCCCCCAAAACTCAAAGCCCCGGTGTAATCGTGAGTAAAGCAGGAGACGCCTCCCAGCGAGGGAACGTTCTGCAGAATGACCAGCACTCCTCAAGCTGTCAGGGTCATCGAGACATGGGAAGTAGCCACGGGAACCTAAGGAGACGTGACGACTGAATGTAACGTCATATGCGAGATGGGATCCTAGGATGTTGACAGGACAGTAGACAAAAACTTAGGAAATCTGAATGAAGCATGGACTTCAGTTGTTAGTAATGTATCAGTATTGGTTCGTTAATTGTCAGAAATGTGCTCCACTAATGCAAAATGTAAACGCAGGTGCTGGATTGGGAAGCAAGGATGAAATAACTTAGTGTTTGCTTTAGGTTTGTGGATGAGTGATGATGACATCTATCGCATAATACGTTACAGGATGTCTGCTTTACAGGAGTCGTTTGTGAAGGTTATAAACATTGTTTACTGTTCAAAATGTTTTGCACCTATTTAGTCTTTTGTAAGTGTTTTTGGCTGTTCCACGTTCTTTTAGACATGCCAGTGCAAGAGACAGCAGGGTGGCAGTGAAGGGTGTGACCTCAGGCGAGTTTCTCAACCTTTCTCCTGCTGAGCCTTAAAGTCGGCATCTTACAGTCACTGTGGACACAGATGGCGAGAAGCTGGCGGAGCGGGAGGCACCAGGCATCTCTCCCGCCTGGACAGTAGCTGCACTGGCACAACCTGTCTAGCATGACTGTTGTGGAACTCTGGAGTCTATTGAGGGCTTGTAGCTCCTCGGGGAGGGTGTGGTACGTAGCAGCTGGTCTGCTCAGTTCTGCGCTCGGCGCACGGCAGATACCCACCCCCCGCCCCCGGCCACTGCAGGCAGCTGGGCTGGTGCTCCTGGAGCGGCCCGCATGCAGCCTGTGGGAACCAGGGCGGGCCTAAAAGACCTGTGCTCCGTGTGTGGGGAGCCCTGCTCTGAGTGCTGACCGCTGCTTACGACCGGACAGGTGCAAAGAAGCCTGCGTTGTAGCACATCTCATTGGTGTTGCGTCTCTCTCCCCCGCTGCTGCACCTCTTCCTCGGGCTGAGGGGACTGCCGGAAGACTGAAAGGGCTCATGCCCTTCTCGCCGCATTACTTTCCTCTTTCTCCCCTTTCGGGCGCCAGTTTAAAAACTAGGGCATTCAAAAACAGCTGCATGTAAGGAGAGAATTAGAACATGGCTGTGTGCCGAGGGGGCGGCTCAGAGAAGACCCGAGAGTATCTCACGTTTGCAGCGGAGGCTGGTCATCAGTGCAGAGTTCTCCTATAACAATCAAAAAGGCAGAAACAGTAACAAACCCAGCAAACCCTGTGGAGGGGGAGAATCTGATTTCCAGAGTTACCATGCTACTAATTTAAATGTCTAGCTTTCAGCAAAACATAAAGGCATACAAAGAAACAGGAAAATATGACCCATTCAAAGGAAAAAAATAAACAAAAGCTGCACCTGAAAGAGACTTGGTGGCAGATTTGGTGGACAGAGACTTTAAAAGATGCTCAAAGAACAAAAGGAAGATGTGGGAGACATGGAAAAGATGCGTGAACAAAATGGAAATATCAGTAAAGAGTTAGAAAACCTAAAAAGGAATCCAAAGAAATTCTGGGTCTGAAATATAACTGGAATGAAAAGTTCACTAGAACGGTCAAAAGGCAGATTTGAGCAAGCAGAAAAATAAGGGAAGATGAAGATAGGACACTGGAAATTACCAAGTTTGAGGAGCAATGACAAAAAACTCAGGAGAAGTGAACAGAGCCCAGGGGAACTATAATAGGAAAGAATCTGAAAAAAAAAAGTATATATAACTGAATTGCTTTGTTCTATACCTGAAACTAACATTCTAGATTGACTCACTTCAATAAAAAGTAAGAATTTTATAAAATGGATCAATGATCTAAATGTAAGAAGTAAAACTATAAAGCTCTTAGATGAAAACATAGGGCAAAACTTTGTGACGCTGGATTTGGCAGTGATACCTTGTGTAGGACACCAATGGCACAGACAACAAAGGAGAAATGGATAAACTGGCTTCATGAAAAAGTTAAAACTTGGCGATTAAGAGGTGCAACCTCCTAATTTTGTAACCTTCAGTTACAAAGTGAGTCCTTGGTATGAAATGTGCAGTGTGAGTAATGCAGTCAGTGTTTATGTAATGTCGTTGTGCGGTGACAGATGGTGTCCAGACTCACCGTGGCGAGCATTTTGAAACGTACAGAAATGTCAGGTCACCACATGGTGAACCAGGAGTTGACGTAGTCTTGTAGGGCAGTGACATACTTCAGAAACAAGCAGATAGACTTACAGAAAAAGGGATCTGACTTCCTGTTACCAGAGATGGGGGTCGGAGGAGGGGGAGCTGATGCAGGCAGTCAGAAGGCACAGACTTCCAGTTATAAGCTCAATACTGGGGATGCATGTACAGCAGGATAGAGGTGGTTAACACTGTTGTACATTATGTGTGAAAGTTGTTAAGAGAATAAATCCTAAGAATTCTTATCATAAGGAGAAAAAATTTCTATTTTTAAAATTTTGTATCTATATGAGATGGATATTCACTAAACTTAATGTAGTCGTTCATGATGTGTATGTCAAATTATTATGCTGTACACCTTAAACTTACACAGTGCTGTATGTCAATTATATTTCAATAAAACTGGAGGAAAAAATAAATTTAAACAAAGTTCTATCCATTAGCGATTTTTTAAAAATTTAACAATAAAATATCACTGTACATTGAAAATTTTTTGTATGTATTCTGAGACACTCAATAGAAAAAGGCAACCCACATTATGGGAAAAAATGTTTGCAAATCACATATTTGATAAAGGATTAATATCTAGACTACATAGAGAATTCAGCACTCAACAGCGAAAACCAAATAGCTGGATTTAAAAAATGGACAATGGACTTGAATTGGACATTTCTCCAAAGAAGCGGGATAAACAGCCAATAAGCACATAAGAAGATGCTCAGCAAATGGCATAATGTAGATGAACTTTGGGAATATTATGCTGAGTGAAATGAGCCAGTCCCAAGGGGACAAATACCGTATGATTCCACTTACGTGAGGTACTTAGTGTTGTCAGATCACATGGGATGTAAAACGGTTGTTACCAGGGCCTAGCACGGGGCTAATGAGGTGTTGTTGTTTCATAGGTACAGAATTTCAGTTTTATAAGATGAAAAGAGCTGTGGAGATGGTGGTGATGGCCACACAACATTATAATGTATTTTAACACCACTGTATTACATGTTTAAAAAAGGTTAATATGATAAAGTTTAAATTAAAAAACAGTTCTGTGGGCTAAATGTGCTTATATGTAGTAAGTAATGGGTTCTTGTCCTTCAACAGAGTTTGATTTTTGAAAGCAGTGTTAAGTTAACTTGGGGCCTGGTTAATACTTGGAGAGTTAAACTTGTTATTAGCATCTTTGATCGAAAGCAATACAGATATAAAAATAACTTGGTGGGAGTAATTTTTGTATGGCCTGTAATTTTTTTAAAGAAAATTTTACCCTTATATTAGAGTTGCAAAAATAGCATACTGCCCTTGCTTGTCATTTCATACTCTCCCGAATTCCGTGACCGTTCCTCAAGCTCTTCTTGTCTTTCATGACCTTGACACTTCTGACGTGAGCTGGTCAGTTGTTTCCCAGAGTGTCCTTCAGTGGGGTTTGTTTGGTGATTTCTCTTGAGTGGGCTGAGGATGCGCGTTCCTGGGAAGGGCCCTCCTCAGTGCGTCTTACGCGGGTGTGTGCCGTCGGCGTGCGTTGCAGGGATGTCGGCCTTGGTCGGCTGGCTCAGGTGCGGGCTGTTAGGCTCTTGCACTATAAGTTTACTCTTTTTCCTTGTGTAATTACTAAATGTTTGGGGGGAGATATTTGAGATTCTTTTATCCACTAATTCTGGCCCCCGCTGATTTTTCTTTCCTCTGGCGGTTGTTGACCGCGAAGCTCTGATGGAGACTTTATATTTGCCTCGCACTTCTGTTCTTATTGGCTGCACTTCCTTCGTTAGGAAGGGCTGTCCGTTCCCCCCGTTATGAATCCCTCGGCCAGTCTTGGTAGAAGTTTGTTAGCTGATTTCCAGTTGAGCTTCCTGGATTTCAGTTTGAGGGGGAAGAATAGGTGGTTCTTTTCTAAGTTTAGGACTAAATAAAATCTATAAACTCAGTTCTCTGTTTGGTGCCTTATAAATATTTCACTTTCTAAAGGTTACTTTTTTAAAGTCTCATTTTTATTATTTTCGAGGTAATTTTTTGGTAAGAACCCATGTAACTCTTGAGGTGATTTTTCTGATACCAGTATCTCAAGTTATAAGTTGGCGGAACATAGCAAAATTGTATTTTGTGTTACTGTATGGTTTTAAAATTTATAATTTCAGTAACTACTTTGGAATGAGAGCATACCCTTAACCTTTTTCTTTTTCCCTCAGGCTTGAGAAGGAATACACTACAATAAAAACTAAAGAAATGGAAGAACAAGTTGAAATTAAAGTAAGTATCTTAGGACTTTCAAAAGTGCTGAAAATAAATTGACTGAAGTCAGGTATTTGGCAGTAGGTGTTAGGTTATGTCGGTGTATTTATTACTTGCAGTAAATTTAACTGTGAGTTTGTATTTATTTTTTGATACATTTACCGTCTCACTAGACTATAGTTTAAAAATAGGCATTTCAAAAGCCAGAATAATGTGACTGAAGTGCGTTTTATTCTGCTGTGAAAGAGAGCAGCCCTTCCCCTTTTTCTGGATTTGTTGACGGGTCGTCAGGAGAAAGTACTTCTACCGGGAAGAAAATTACCTTCCCTTCTTCCATTCAAGTATATTTTTAAAAGTCAGAGAAGGTGATCTGTAACACGCTGAGATTAATGGCAGTATCGTACCAGGTAGACCAAGTGAGCAAACCACTGAAACTGATCGTGGCTGCCTGAGGGCTGCAGAAGGCTTTGTTCAGTTTTCTCACCTCTAAACAAAGGTTGTTTCTGAACTGCTCTCCAGAGAAACAGATAGACTTTCAATCTGAAGGACGAGAATTCCCACGTGTACCTTAAAATTCTTAGCTGTTCCCCTGTAGGCCGGAATTCTTAAGTTGAGGGTCTGTGGCACTGTGTGAGTTGGGTGTTAAGGAAAGTTGAACTGGCTTTTATGCAGCTATTTCAGGATGGGGACAATGACCAGCAGCATGAGTTAGTGGAGGGACTCAGTGACTGGCTCAGGATGGGGACGGTGAGCAGGAGCAGGAGCTGGTGGAGGGACTCAGTGACTGGCTCAGGATGGGGACGGTGAGCAGGAGCAGGAGCTGGTGGAGGGACTCAGTGACTTGTGGAGCTGTTTCTTCCCTTTTGTTCTCCCCCCATCCTCTACAAAAAAAGGAAAGAAAGAAACAAAAATAAAACAATTTTTATTGAGTGACTCCACTTTTTTTTTTTTAAACTGTGTGTTTGGATGTGTTTGATTTTTTGACATTGACATGGCAAGACATTCGATGACTGTCTCATTTGCAGGTCACAAGCCGTGTCTTAATTCAGCCTTGCTGTAAAACAGCACTTCATTACTCACACCTCCCCGGCCCTTTTTACTAAGCGGGTCCTGTGAAGTTACTGCTCTCTCTGCCCATAATCCTGCTCAAAAGCCCCCTAGGAAACAGTCTCTTCTCTCTCATCAGCTCTATCTCCCTTTTATAGCTGTTTTATTTCCATTTCTATCACCTATGTACTATCAGTTAGAAATAGATACTTCTACATTTTTTTCGGAGAGAGAGAGAGAAGTAGAGAGAGAAAGAAAAGCCTCTTGTGGATGTTTGTCCCTCTTTTTAAAAAATTCTGTCACCCAACTGCTGCTCTACTATTTGCTTTTCTTTTAGGTACCATGAGTAAGGGTAATATTAAATCACACCCTCCACTTCAGCCTACTGAAAGTAAAAAGTACGTCGTCCTGACGCGTGGGGAAAGAGTGTGGGTTATCGCGTACCACGAGTGTTCGGAGCTGCAAAGCAAGATCTGAGGATGGGGAAGCCATCCTGTTCATTTCACCATGCTCTGTTGTTGCCCAAAACACCCCCCCAAACACGATTCTGTGAACAATCCTTGTTCTTGAAGAAGTTTTTTCTAAAATTAAGCGATATGAATGTAGGAATACCAGAAGGCCTCTTCAAAAAGATCTAGCAGATGTTAGCCCATGTATCTGCAGCTTTTTTCAAATTTTGTTTTCTGGGGGAAGTTATAGTTCATATACCTCACAGAATACTCCTGAATGCCAGCTCCGTGTGTCTTAGGCAAAAACGGCTGGCATAAAGTCGGTTACAGAGAAGAGTCTGGAAAAAAAAGTTAAAAAAGGTATTGGGTGAATAAAGTATCCTGATCTCAAAGACAGTCCTTTTATAAAATTTTGTTTCCACATAGTTCTTTTTCACTCTTGGACCATTTTCATCTTTGTTCACTCCTCCTATTCCCTAAAGGACGAAGCCAAAACAATTTTTGTGTAACTGTGCTCTTTTTTACTTTATGTTTGGATATGTCTGATTTTTAAGCTGGACCTGGCCATTCATCTCACTCATAATCAGAAGATTACTTTATTTACAATAAAGTAGCCATTTGAGCCTTTCTCTGCAATGGAAAATGCCCCTTCCTAATTCCTAATGTGCCCCTTCGTCCAAGATCCTTTTTATCAAGGGGATGCGTTGTGTTAAACTAGTGCTTCTTGCCTGGGTCCTCAGAAGCCTTAAAGGCTGGAATCTTACACCATTCTTGACACAAATACCATTCTTTAAACAAATAGTATGGTTATCAAATTACTTGATGTTTTGATAGAGAAGTAAAAAGTCAGCCTTTGGTGTTGTGAAATGTGTTTAAGGTTTGACCTTTGGGTTGGTGACCTTTAAGAATTACTCTGTTAGGTCCCTGATCAAGGTGTGACTTTTAAGTATTTTTCATACCTTGTCTGAAAGTGTTACAGGAAGGTTCTGATCATAATGATTTCATACAGGGAATCCTGCATTTTACTGTGTGAAATTTTTTGTTAAAAGAAACGTCTTTATCGGTATCTTCTTCCAAGCTCTTGATGTTCCACGTGAGGGGGGGGAGGTAAGAAATACTGACGTTCTAGCTTGTATTAGGGTATAGCTCAGGTCGTTAAAAAAGAAGAACCTTTATCCTCTGCTGTATTTAAGATAGACATACGAACTGACAATCTAATGTTTAAATTTATGCTTTGGGGCATAGAGATTTAAGCCCTGCAAATAGGAGGCGTTAGAAAATCTGACTGGTTTTTAGTGAGAATGTAGATATTTTTTCTTTTTTAAAAATGTATGGAATATTCCAGATATGTTGAAAACTAGAGAACAGTATAAAACACCTGTGTTTTCACTGCCTAGCATAAAACAAGAAAACAGCAGTTACTGTCTTCATCCAGAAATTGTGCTGACCAGTTAGCATGAAGTACTGGTCTTGGCACATTGATTCAACACTTAACGTATGAAGGGCAGTTTGCGTGCATTATCTCCTATTACTATTCCAGTAGCCTTAGGAGAGGGTTATCTTTCTATGAAGAAACTAAGCTTCAGAAAGCTCGAGTAGTATGCTAGTGGGCACGCTGATAGAAAATGGTAAAAGTCAAGGATTTGAGCTCTGATTTGCGTTAATCTGAGACCCCTGCGTGTTCCTCAGTGTGCACACTGCTTCCCAAGGGAGCCTTTAATGTATTGTGATGCAAGAAGGATCTGGATGCCCATTTTTCTGTGGCATTACAGAGTTTTCATTAAAAAAATGAATGGCTACATAATATCCAGTGAGGGTACAATAGCATAATTTATTCAAGAAGTCATCCACTTGGCAGATATTTACAATGTCTCTGCATGTCCCAGCGCTGTTCTAGGCCCTGGAGATGTGCTTCTGAAACAGACCAGCTCCTGCCCTCATGGTACATACGTTCTAGTATGGACAATAAACAGAAAAGAAAAATGTACAGTATTTTAGGTGGTGATAAATGTTAAACAGGAGGAAAAAAAATATTTTAGGGAAGGGAAAATAGAATGGTAGTGTTTGGATCAAAAATTTAGAGAAGTTGACCAGGTTCCTTTTGAGCAAAGACCTGAGGGAGGTGAGGGAGCTGGATGTGGAAGGAGAGCAGGATCCGGTCAGGAGCGTGCTGCTGGGGAACAGGAAGGAGGCCGCCGCGGGCGGGGCAACGTGAAGGTGAGGGACCGATGGCGGGCAGGAAGTTGCACGTTACAGGGGACGCAGGGAGTCGCTGAACAAGGGAAGACTGGCTTTTCCTCCGTGAGCCACTGGTGTTTTCAGTAGAGAAGGACGAGCTCTGACTGAAGTTTTCCGTGGGTCCTCTGGCTGCTGTGTTGAGAGGATCTTGCAGGGCTGAGAACAGAGGCAGGGAAACAAAGTAGAAGGCTGATGAAGAAATGCAGGCAAGGGGTGGTGGTGGCCCCAGCTGAAGTGTTAAGAAGTGACTGGATTCAGAATAGGTTTTTAAAGCTGCAGCTGACTGTGGAGGCGTGAAGGGACAGACATCAGGCACTTGGGCCTGAGCAGCTGGGAAAATACAGTCCTGGGTACCTGCGGTGGGAAGGTCTACAGGAGGGTTTGGTTTTGGGGGAGTAGCAGGAGCCCCAGCTTTGGATATATTAAGTATGAGATGCCTGGGAGATGATCAGGCAGCTCCTTGAAATATTCATTGTTGGAGTTAAGAGAAGACAGGCTAGAAATAAAAATTTCACAGTTACTGACACAGTCACACTAGAAGCCGTGAAAGTGGATGGGATTACTGGGGAATGAGTGCAGATAAAACAGAAGTTCAAGAATGAAGCCTGAGAGTAAACCAGCACTAAAAGTTAGGAAGGCCGAGGACCAAGCAGCAGAGCAGGTGGACAGCAGGGAATGTGGTGTCCGGAAACTGAGAGAAGACGGTGTTTCGGAAAAAGAGAAGGATTCGCTGTGTCGAACGAGAGAGGGGCTTCGTGAGATGCGGGGGAAAAATAACGGCTAAGTTTAGCAGCACGGAGGTAAATAGTAAAGAGAAGGGTTGGAAACTGAGACTTGCCTTGGAGAAGGAAGTGTAGGTATCTCTCAGGGAACGTGCTGTAAAGAAGAGAGAAATGGAACAGTAATCTTAGGGAGGCTCGTGGTGTTGAAGGGGTTTTTAGTTTGTGTTTCCTTCCTTTTTTGTTAAGATGGCGTATTCAATAGGAAGCATTCATGATATGTGATTGGAGGGATGACTGCTGAAATCAGCAGGGTTGTGGGGTTTGGTGTGTTGGTGGAAGATTTAACGTGGTCTGCTATGTGGATAATAAGTTCACAATTAACAAGAAAGACTAACATAGATGGGGGAAAGGTAGGTAAGATGGAGGATGTGCTTGTGGGATGTTGCGACGTTTTCTTCTGATTGTTTCCATTTTTTCACTGAAATCAGAAACAGGATTATCATCTGAGAGTGACAGTGGGGTGGGGGGTTGCTGGTTTGAAGAAGGAGAAGTGTGGAATAGTGATCTGAGAGGGTAGGGGAAGGAACGGACTAAGGAAACACGTTATTATTGCTAGGGTGCATTTAGAGTCCACGTGAACTTAGTGATTGTTAATTTAAGTAAACTTCGTGGTTTTATTTTACTTTGGTTATATTTACTGGCCGATGTGCAGACAGTTGTCAGTCTGTTGACCCAAGTAGTGGCTTCCCAGGCAAGTGTGCTAGCTCCTAAGGGAGCGGGGGGAGGGGGCATAGAAGCAGGGGAAAGTCTGTAATGACTGAAGATGGAACTTCGTAAAGAGGGGAGAGAGGACACCAGGGTGTGAGGGACGGAAGAGCTGATAGGGTCAGTGGATTATCCCAAAGAGGAGGAGAATTGCCGAGTCTGGGTTACTGCAGAACGAGTAAGCTGGGAGGAACAGAGTGCGTTTGAAACCAAGATTTTCCTATTTTGGGGTATTTAGGTTTTTCTCTTTTCATTATTAAAAAATAATGCTTATATTTAGCATCTTAGTCTGTAAAGTTTTGTGGTGCCTTGTATTTGCATAGTCAGTTGTAAAAAGTGGAATTACTGAATTACAGGATATTAGTGTTTTAAGACACTTAATATGTACTGAGTAAATTTCCTGGAGAGCATTTCCAGGGTGAGTTCTTAGCTGCGTTTCCGCCTCAGCGATCCCTTCCTGGGTCAGATATTTCAGTCTTGCTCTCACTCGTAGCCTTATTTCCCCTTCTCTAATTTGGTAAGTCAGAGGAGTCTCTCTTTTTTTAAGTGTATGTATCTGTTGCCTTCTCTTTGTGGTTATCCCTTTAGTTTGGAGAACTCCCTGTTAATTAGTTCTAAGAAATGTGATTAAAAATAAGGATAAAAGTATTTTATTTAAAAAATTTAATGGGAAAATCAGACAAGTGATAGATTTTAGTCATTAACTTTCCTATATGGCAGCAGTAAACATTTCAAAAATATCTTGGAAAAGAAAATTCCATTTGATATAAAAATAAAAGCACATTTAGGAATAACCTAAATGAAAAACAGAGTAGAACCTAACACACACGGAAAAACTTTACAACATAAATAAAGGGGAGAGACAAAAATAGCTCTGTTGTAAAAAGTTAGGAATTTCCCCACAAAATCCAGTCAAATTAATTCCTTTGACATTCCACAACAGCCAGAAACTAAAGAATAATTATAAAGAATAGGCGGAAGTAATAAAGGAATCTTCACGCCCTAACTTTAAAAATATTATGAGCAACACATTAAGCAAGCGTGTGTGGTGTGCTGGGCAGTGTGCGTTCTCGTTAAATTCTCCCAGTGTTGTCATAGGCTCTATCACTCTGGTCTTCTAGACCAGGAAATGGAGATTCTAAGACGCTGAATGACACGCACAGGTGTTCACTGCAGAGTGAAGATTTGAACCTAAACCTGCCTCACTTCACAACCTAGTCTCCTAACTAAGTTATCTGCTATTAAGGTTTGGGGAGGACAAACAAAGCAATATGAGATTGGGTGAAATTAGCTCTACCAGATGTTAAAGGGATTACAAAGCTGTAATTGCCAAAACTGCTGCGAAGGTGACCCTGAAATAAGTCTTTAGTAACTGAGTTCGTCTGTGATAGTTATCAGTTCATCATGAAGTGAGTATCACACAAATGAGGAATTGGTGATTTATTTAAAAAGCTGTACTAAGACATTTGTGTAGGTATTTGGGGGAAAATAAATTCAGGTTTCTGTAGCAAAATTTCAGAAGATTTAAAGGGGATGGGGAAGGAAATCCAGGTGAGTTTTTAATTTTAAATTGTATTATTTTAGCATTATTTCTGTTGTGACATTAATTTTATTCACTCAATTGTTTGGTTGAACTTAACTTCCTAAGCCTTTTAGGATAAACAAAATTCTACTTTTTTTCATGAAATACATTGAGAACATTTTGAGAATCACATTTGTTTCTTTGGCTTTCCAGACTTTAACAGCATTTAATAATTGCTTATTTTTGTAGACCAGTATGCTATGCCTAATATGAATAGCCAAGAAATGAGGAACATTTTCTTCTCCTGAACACAATTTTTTAGTCTGAGATCACACATAAAGTAATATCTATTTCAAACCATCTAAATATATTCTAGTGAATAGAGCAAGGAAATTTAATTTGCAAAGTCTCTTTGTAGTGACTCTCAGATGTATTTGCTCCAGTTTGTTGTCCACTTAATAAGATGCAGTAATTCACAGCCGTTTATTTCCTTTGTTCTGAGACTTTATATGTTATGTAAACTACATTTTAGTCTTTACTGTCAAAATAATAGATTGAACTGACAAGAGTTCTCTGAGGAAGACATTTTTAGGAGGAATTTAGAGGAAGGTAGGGCTGGAAGAAGGCTAGATTGCTCTCTGGAGCAAACTGGTACAGAAAGGTAAGAGGGAGTTTGAAATTATAATGATGGCAAAATTATATTGGTGGAATATACAAAAAGGAAATGATTTTTAATGTGGAGTGTTCTGGATTTAATACTTAATAGCACTAATTTTACAGGGTTTTGGGAGTTGGGCATCGAATAGTTAGTTAGGTGGAGTTTTTTGGGGGGTTTTTTGATCTGGTTTTACTTTTTTAACTACAAGAAAATGCTAGCAATTTTCTTAAGCTTAAGACAACTCATGATAATTCACTCGATGGAAACAACTCATTCATTATATTTTCAGAGTGGAACTTTGCAACTTGACATTTACAGCACGTTATAAATGGAGGCTGATCTAGTTCTAAACTGACAATTTGATATTCTCTGAACATGCATTTCTCAGATTTCCTATTTATTTGATAGACATTTGGATGTTATTTGTGTAGATATAGTCTTTGTAGGAGATAAATGAGTGAGAATCTTTTCTATCTAATGGGGCTGTTAAGACATACTAGAAAATGCTGATTACGGGTCCTTATGCTGGGTCCAGGGGGGAAGGGATATTTCTGTGTGTACTCGAGCTTGTATTTAAAATTCAGTCACAGCTGGATTGATAAATGGCATTTCCTTTGCCATGCGCTTTTTACTTTGAGCCTTCAGGAATTTCACAGGTGATAATGCAGCCATTCCGTAGACTGTTTTCCTGTTTATAAAAGGTGGTACATTTTAAGGACTATGATTTAGGTATCATTTTTTCTTCTCAGGAATATTTGCAAACAAACCTTTGTTTTATCTTTTTCTTTTTCTGTAGAGGTTACGCACAGAAAATAGACTTTTAAAACAGCGCATTGAAACATTAGAAAAAGTAAGTAAATTTCTCCCTTTGCAAGCTTCTGTTGGACGCACAGTAACTTTTCTGTTTTAAATAAAGGCTCAAGAAGTGGAGCTCGCATCTCCAGTGGTGGTGCTGACTGCTTGGCTTACTGCATAGCTTACTGCTCAGCTGAGTAACTTGTCAGTGAAAACCAATTATTACTAGTGTTTGAACTTTAGGGTTAAAGCTTTAAACTAAGATTATTAGAGGAACATATTGATGTCATTTATTTCTGTTACATAATCTCTCAAAAGCGGTTCTTTGGGGGCAACCTAATTGAGAATCCATTCGGTATAGTATTTTAAATGACTTTCAATTGTTTCCCTGACTGTGTAGCCAGATGTTAAATGTGGCAGTGATTTCCTTAAGGCCTAGGATTGCTTCAAGTTTAGTCAGAATGACCGATTTCTTACGTAAAAATTCACCATGATGTTTGTTGATTTTCAGCACAGAGGAATTCTGCCTGTACTTTGGTCCTTAGAATTATTTTGATACCACTCGTTACCTCTTCCTTCCTGTTTGATATAAAATAACTGAGCAAATGTGGAAATTTTGCATTGTTTTTCATATTGTGCTTTTGATGTATTGTGTTTTGTAGTCTTATTCCTGATGTCATACGTATTAAGTGATAAAAAATATAGTGAAAGAGTTTTAGTTTAGTGAAAGAAAAACATCTGACTTCACAAATTCTTTTGGTGTTTTTTTGTTTTTGTTTTTTTCTTTTTACCGAAGATGAGAATTAGAGTTTTAAAAATAATCCTCATGATTTTGCCAAGTATCTTTAGATATTTAGAAAAAAAATGAATAAAAAGATATGGATCATTTGCATGTTCTTCTTTTGTTTGAAAGTATTGATGGTTTCATATTAGATAGCGTGGCACAAAGACAGGATGTTTATTATATATCTGTTTTTTGCTATATAATAATGGCAGCTACATTATATTAAGGATGTATTTCCTTCATCTTACGAGTTGCTTCGAAGATAATTCTACTTTTTTCATGATTGCAAAAAAGATTGAGGTTGTTTTTAAGTCATTTTAGTTTTATATATTTTTTCCACTACATACTCAGTTTACAGTAAAATACACATCTTCTTCGTGGTCTTTGATCTCTGGAGTGAGACGTTTTCACAGAGAAAGAATGTTTATTTCATGGAACCTTCAGAATGATAAAGGTGCTGTTGGAGCATGTTAAGTTTGGATTTTGCTTCTAGGAAATTAAGCACCTTTTTACTGGCTTCGACGGCCTAGGTGTGTCTCTTAGCACTTAGCGTTGTGTAGATACTTATGTGTCAGTTAAAGTCTGTACCCAGGCTGTTTACTTGCTCAGTTACTGCTGGACTTTTTTACAGTTGAGCTTGTTAATTTCGTTTGTCATGTTTTCCTTGCTTTGCTTCTTTGGGACTTGCTGTTCACAAGCTGCTGTCACACTTGATAAGTGGAGCTGCCTGCTCAGATTCCTTCTCCTTTTCGTACATGTGGTTTGACAATACGGCTGACTGTAATAGTACTTGAAAGTGTGCTGTACAAATAGGATACTGGCTTGTCCGAAATAATGGAAAACCTCTTAGCGTTTTGTCTCTTCTAGAAGCACATGATTTTGTGCAGTTCACCCTTACTTTTTAAGGAATGAAAACACATACAATGAAAAATAGTTTTAAAGTGTAAATGTCTCTTTTAATTACAATGAGAAGTAGGTGGAATTTGGGTATGCCTTGTTTCTTCTTATTCCTAATTTTATCACCTTTATTTTATTTCTTTCTCTTATGTTTCTATCTGAATTTTTCCTTTTGTAGGAAAGTGCTTCCTTGGCAGATAGATTGATACAGGTATAGTTTTGTTTTGTTTTTTTTTAAAGCTTTTTCTCTAACACCTAAGGAAAGTCATAAACCTAAGAAATCTATATTTTAATGCATGCAATGTTACATGCATTTTCCTAGAAAATAATTTTTGGGGGTGGTCTAAATGGGTATAACTTAATTTTTGATAACAGTATGTTATCTTTGTTTATTAAAATAAACATCTTTTGCACGTTTTAAAGCTAACCTTTAAGTATTTATTCCAAAATGGCAATCATTGGATTCTGCAAAATTAACTACTATTCATTGAAAATATTAGTCCTGCATGTACAACTCAATAATATTGCATGAATTGAACTTTTACTGACTGAAAGAAGAATTGTTCTTAAAATTGTCAGATGAATTTTTCATGTAGTTTCCCAAGATTTGCTGGAGCAAGAATGAGCTGCTGGCTGATAATTACTTAGCTGTTCTGTTCTCTGAGGTGGTTGGTTTGTTTTTTTAACATGTTGAAGTAAATAACTAAACCTCACAGAGGCAGTCTTTCTTGAATCTATCCTAAACTGCTTTCCACACACACAAATTATGTCCTAAGGGACAAGTGACAAGAGCCCAGGAGGCTGAGGAAAACTACCTCATAAAGCGGGAGCTGGCCAGCATCAGGCAGCAGAGCGATGAGGCCAGTGCTAAACTGGAGCGGGCTGAGGGCACCATCAGGAAGCTCCAGCGCCAGCAGCAGTGGGTAAGGCGCCTGCTCGGGCTTCGCGCAACCTTCTCGCCCCGTCCTCTGAACTTTTTTTTTTTTTAAGCACAACTTCAGTGCTCTTGTTTTAAGTAATTGTTTTCTACTTTCATAGAAATCTTAAATTAATCAATTTTACGTTCTGTGATACTTAGAAGTTTTATTGTGGCCGAAGGACTCCTCATTCTAACTTTTTCTTCTGTCTGCACAGTTTTGTTAGGAATCGGTAGTACTTTCTTTCCTTACTTTATGTTTTAAGTCACAGAAAGTAAGTGGTGTTTGTCAGACCTGCTTTTCAGGTTTTAGAAATCTGTTTCATAAAAGGTATTTT